ATAGACTAGACTATAGACTAGACTATAGACTAGACTATAGACTAGACTATAGACTAGACTATAGACTAGACTATAGACTAGACTTTAGACTAGACTATAGACTAGACTATAGACTAGACTATAGACTAGACTATAGACTAGACTATAGACTAGACTATAGACTAGACTATAGACTAGACTATAGACTAGACTATACTAGACTATAGACTAGACTATAGACTAGACTATAGACTAGACTATAGACTAGACTATAGACTAGACTATAGACTAGACTATAGACTAGACTATAGACTAGACTAGAGACTAGACTATAGACTAGACTACAGACTAGACTACAGACTAGACTAGACTATAGACTAGACTACAGACTAGACTATAGACTAGACTAGACGACTATAGACTAGACTATAGACTAGACTATAGACTAGACTATAGACTAGACCATAGACTAGACTATAGACTAGACTATAGACTAGACCATAGACTAGACTATAGACTAGACTATAGACTAGACTATAGACTAGACTATAGACTAGACTAGACTACAGACTAGACTACAGACTAGACTAGACTATAGACTAGACTACAGACTAGACTATAGACTAGACTAGACTATAGACTAGACTATAGACTAGACTATAGATTAGACTATAGACTAGGTTATAGACTAGACTATAGACTAGACTATAGACTAGACTATAGACTAGACTATAGACTAGACTATAGACTAGACTATAGACTAGACTATAGACTAGACTATAGACTAGACTATAGACTAGACTATAGACTAGACTATAGACTAGACTATAGACTAGACTATAGACTAGACTATAGACTAGACTATAGACTAGACTATAGACTAGACTATAGACTAGACTATAGACTAGACTATAGACTAGACTATAGACTAGACTATAGACTAGACTATAGACTAGACTATAGACTAGACTATAGACTAGACTATAGACTAGACTATAGACTAGACTATAGACTAGACTATAGACTAGACTATAGACTAGACTATAGACTAGACTATAGACTAGACTATAGACTAGACTATAGACTAGACTATAGACTAGACTATAGACTAGACTATAGACTAGACTATAGACTAGACTATAGACTAGACTATAGACTAGACTATAGACTAGACTATAGACTAGACTATAGACTAGACTATAGACTAGACTATAGACTAGACTATAGACTAGACTATAGACTAGACTATAGACTAGACTATAGACTAGACTATAGACTAGACTATAGACTAGACTATAGACTAGACTATAGACTAGACTATAGACTAGACTATAGACTAGACTATAGACTAGACTATAGACTAGACTATAGACTAGACTATAGACTAGACTATAGACTAGACTATAGACTAGACTATAGACTAGACTATAGACTAGACTATAGACTAGACTATAGACTAGACTATAGACTAGACTATAGACTAGACTATAGACTAGACTAAGACTATAGACTAGACTATAGACTAGACTATAGACTAGACTAGACTAGACTATAGACTAGACTATAGACTAGACTATAGACTAGACTATAGACTAGACTATAGACTAGACTATAGACTAGACTATAGACTAGACTATAGACTAGACTATAGACTAGACTATAGACTAGACTATAGACTAGACTATAGACTAGACTATAGACTAGACTATAGACTAGACTATAGACTAGACTATAGACTAGACTATAGACTAGACTATAGACTAGACTATAGACTAGACTATAGACTAGACTATAGACTAGACTATAGACTAGACTATAGACTAGACTATAGACTAGACTATAGACTAGACTATAGACTAGACTATAGACTAGACTATAGACTAGACTATAGACTAGACTAGACTATAGACTAGACTATAGACTAGACTATAGACTAGACTATAGACTAGACTATAGACTAGACTATAGACTAGACTATAGACTAGACTATAGACTAGACTATAGACTAGACTATAGACTAGACTATAGACTAGACTATAGACTAGACTATAGACTAGACTATAGACTAGACTATAGACTAGACTATAGACTAGACTATAGACTAGACTATAGACTAGACTATAGGCTAGACTATAGACTAGACTATAGACTAGACTATAGACTAGACTATAGGCTAGACTATAGACTAGACTATAGACTAGACTATAGACTAGACTATAGACTAGACTATAGACTAGACTATAGACTAGACTATAGTCTAGTCTATAGACTAGACTATAGACTAGACTATAGACTAGACTATAGACTAGACTATAGACTAGACTATAGACTAGACTATAGACTAGACTATAGACTAGACTATAGACTAGACTATAGACTAGACTATAGACTAGACTATAGACTAGACTATAGACTAGACTATAGACTAGACTATAGACTAGACTATAGACTAGACTATAGACTAGACTATAGAGTAGACTATAGACTAGACTATAGACTAGACTATAGACTAGACTATAGAGTAGACTATAGACTAGACTATAGACTAGACTATAGAATAAAATTATAAGATTAAAGCATTTTTAATAAGTGCTAAGTGCCTCAACTTGGTTATAGACTAGAAAAAACTACAGTCTTGTCTATAAAATCGATGCAATATTTTAGACTAAAAAATATTTTTTAACACAACAAACTTATTCCAAATTACCAAAAATAGAAAAAGAAATTATCTATATTAGTGAAACGATAACAAAATAATCATTTACCCGCGAAAAAAAAAAGAAATATAAAACCTCAATAGCAAATCATCACCATAGATACTTTAAAAGACTTAATGACATCCAGCTGCTTTAAATTAAAAAAAAAAAAAACACGAAAAAAGATGCTGGTATTTTTCATTTCGATTTCATTTCAATACAAAATTTAATTAAAAACTCATTAACCCATTAAATTAGAAAAAAGTCAAAATGAATCCACATGATATGTAGAAAAAATAGATTTTTAGACGGACAAATAGTAATTTAATACAAAATGAAAACCATACGACCAAATGTTCACATACACAAGCAGGCACACAGATTGTTTAGAATTTTATTAAACATAGAATTGTTTAAAACAAATGACGTCATACCAACATAAAACTAAATTAAAATTTTTGTTGACTTTTTTGCCAAATTGGAAAATTTGTACATAATATTATATTGGTGGAACTTTTAGGTCACCAAATATATAGAATGGATTCTAAAACAGTCTATATCCTTGGTTGTAGAACAGTCTATATTATGGCCTATAGAACAGTCTTTAGTCTGGGTTATAGTACAGTTTATAGTATAGACTATAGAACAGTCCATAGTCTGGACGATAGAACAATCCATTGTCTAGACCTAATAACAGTCTATAATCTCGGATATAGAATGGTCTGTAGCAGTCTATAGTCTGGATTATAGAGCAGTCTATAGTCTGGATTATAGAGCTATCAAGAATCTGGATTATAGAACAGAGTATAGTCTGGACTATAAAACGGTATATAGTCTGGACTATAGAATAGTCTATAGTCTAGAATACTGAACAGTATATAATCTGGACTACAGAACAGTATATAGTATGGACTACAGAACAGTCTATATTCTCGTCTATAGAACAGTCCATAGTCTGGACTGTCTATAGTGTGGACTATAGAATAGTCTATAATTTAGACTATAGAATAGTGTGTACTATGGATTATATAGCAGTCTATATATACTCTGGACTATACAACAGTTTATAGTCTGGACTATACAACAGTTTATAGTCTGGACTATAGAACAGTCTACAGTTTGGACTATAGAACAGTTTATAGTCTGGACTATAGAACAGTCTATAGTCTGGACTATAGAACAGTCTATAGTCTGGACTATAGAAACAGTCTATAGTCTGGACTATAGAACAGTCTATAGTCTGGACTATAGAACAGTCTATAGTCTGGACTATAGAACAGTCTATAGTCTGGACTATAGAACAGTCTATAATCTGGACTATAGAACAGTCTATAGTCTGGACTATAGAACAGTCTATAGTCTGGACTATAGAACAGTCTATAGTCTGGACTATAGAACAGTCTATAGTCTGGACTATAGAACAGTCTATAGTCTGGACTATAGAACAGTCTATAGTCTGGACTATAGAACAGTCTATAGTCTGGACTATAGAACAGTCTATAGTCTGGACTATAGAACAGTCTATAGTCTGGACTATAGAACAGTCTATAGTCTGGACTATAGAACAGTCTATAGTCTGGACTATAGAACAGTCTATAGTCTGGACTATAGAACAGTCTATAGTCTGGACTATAGAACAGTCTATAGTCTGGACTATAGAACAGTCTATAGTCTGGACTATAGAACAGTCTATAGTCTGGACTATAGAACAGTCTATAGTCTGGACTATAGAACAGTCTATAGTCTGGACTATAGAACAGTCTATAGTCTGGACTATAGAACAGTCTATAGTTTGGTCTATAGATCAGTCTATAGTCAGGACTATAGAACAGTCTATAGTCTAAACTATAGAACAGTCTATAGTCTGGCCTATAGAACAGCCTATAGTCTAGACTATAGATTAGACTATAGATGAGTCTGCAGTATGCACTATAGATTAGACTAAGTCTGAACTACAGATTAGGCTATAGTCTGGACTATAGAGTAGGCTATAGCCTGGACTATAGATTAGGCTATTCCATAGACTATAGATTATTCTATAGCCTGGACTATAGATTAGGCTATAGGCTTGACTGTAGAACAGTCTGTAGTTTGAACTATTGAACAGTCTATAGTCTGGACTATAGAACAGTCTATAGCCTGGGCAATAGATTAGTCTATATATATTTATTAAATTCTTCTATGGCAGGAATGTCTACTTTAATGTCTGCTTCTTTGTTGTACTTAAAAATACCTTTAGGCTTACGTATTTAAGTGTTTGTGTAATAGCAATTACTTGGTACACAAACCAATTTAATAGATATTATTTATTATGATGACACTTACCCCATTAAAACTACCACTATCCAACGGTGGCGCATAAACTTTGGCAATAGACCAGGCAAAAATTATAATAGCCGGACAACCTTTGAAAGATAAAAATACAAAATAAAACTTTATGAATACAATTAACGTCATAAGGGATTATACATACAAAAATGAAAATATTGATAAAATTGAAAATTCAGAAAATAAATACAAATACAAATGGAACAAAATAAAATTGAATATTTATTTACCCCAGCCAATTAAAGCGTATTGTAGAAATCCTAAATTATCACTAGAAAATGTTTGTACTACCAAAGTATACAAATAGAGACCTAAAAATATGCAAAAGAAATGTAAATATAATAAGAAATGGGGAAAAACGGAAAAGGATATTAAATTTCGTAATTAAGAAAAATATTTAATTGCCAAGTATTTAATGATTTAAAAGCCATTAATGAAATGAATTTGAAGTGATGAATAGAATCTTTGGAAAATTTATTATTTTAAAACACTTGTTGAAACTGTTACACTCCTTAGCAACTTATTTATAAGTCAAAAGCTTTTTAACTAAGAATTTTTATGATTTTACTTTAGTTTCAATGATTTTATTTATTTTTCTTAAGATTCTATGAAATGGTTTATATGTTAATATTTAGTTTTATTCGAGTTAATGAAAAACATTCATTCACTTAATTATTTACTCACCTTCAACAAACATCCAAAAGAAATTCGTTAAATTAAAATAATGAAACATCATGACCAATGTTATACAACCAGCCGGACTAGCATGATCTGTCATCTGTTTGAGTTATTAAGGAGAAATAAATATTAGATAAATGCCAGCAAATTAATCTCTTTGAGCGGAGACACTAAACCATAATGTGGTATTAAAGGTGAAATGTTATACAATTGTAATTGAAATTTAAAATTATTCCATTTATTATTTATTTATATTTGCAGTGTGTGTCAGGACACTTTATAAAAGAAAAGACGTCGGGTATACATGATACTCTACCACTACTATAGACTACACAACAGTCTAATGTCTGAACTATAGAGCAGTCTATAATCTGCACTATGGAACAGTCTGGACTATAGAACAGTCTATAGTCTGGCCTATAGAACAGTATGAACAGTATATAGTCTAGACTATAGAACAGTCTACATTCTGGACTAAAGAACAGTCTATAGTCTGGACTATTGAACAGTCTATACTGGACTATAGAACAGTATATAGTCTGTACTATAGAACAGTCTATAGTCTGGACTATAGAACAGTCTATAGTCTGGACTATAGAACAGTCTATAGTCTGGACTATAGAACAGTCTATAGTCTGGACTATAGAACAGTCTATAGTCTGGACTATAGAACTGTCTATAGTCTGAACTATAGAACAGTCTATGGTCTGGACTATAGAACAGTCTATAGTCTAGGCTAAAGAACAGTCTATAGTCTGGGCAATTGAACAGTCTATGGTCTGGACTATAGAACAGTCAATAGTCTGGACTATAGAACAGTCTATAGTCTGGACTATAGAACTGTCTATAGTCTGAACTATAGAACATTCTATGGTCTGGACTATAGACCAGTCTATAGTCTGGACTGCAGTATATAGTATGGACGTTAGAATAGTCTGGACTATAGAACAGTCTATAGTCTTTACTATAGAACAGTCCATAGTCTAGACTATAGAACAGTGTACAGTCTGGATTAAAGAACAGTCTATAGTCTAGACTATAGAACAGTATATAATCTGGTCTATAGAACAGTCTATAGTCTGGACTATAAAACAGTCGATAGTCTGGACTATAGAACTGTCCATAGTTTGGACTATACAACAGTCTATAATCTGGATTAAAGATCAGTCTATTTTTTGGATTATAGTCCAGTCTACAGTCTGAACTGTAGATCAGCCTACAGACTGAACTATAGATCAGTCTATAGTCTGGACTATAGATCAGTCTATAGTCTGGACTATGCAACAGTCTATAATCTGGATTATAGATCAGTCTATTGTTTGAGCTATAGTCCAGTCTACAGGCCGGACTATAGATCAACCTGTAGTCTGAACTATAGTCCAGTCTACAGGCCGGACTATAGATCAACCTGAAGTCTGAACTATAGATCAGTCTATAGTCTTGACTATGGATCAGTCTATAGTGTGGGCTATAGATCAGTCTATAGTCTGTGATAGAGATCTGTCTATAGTCTGGAATAGAGATCTATCTATAGTCTGGACTATAGAACAGTCTATAATCTGGACTATAGAACAATATATGGTCTGGACTATAGAGCAGTCCGTAGTCTATCCTATATATCAGTCTTTGCTTGGACTACAAATCAGTCTTTAGTCTGAGCCTTAGATCAGTCTATAGTCTGGACTTTAGAGCAGTCTATAGTCTGGACTTTAGATCAATCTATAGACGGGACTATAGATCGCTAAATAATATTGTATGCAGATCAGTTTATAAACAGCTCCGGACTACACATGTTTAACTTCTTTCTGTTTCTTCCTCCTCCATACCCCAAAACTTACCACTTGTAAAAATAATGTCAATATCCATAATAATGCTGAGAGTATATAAGTTAAAAATAGATTCGCATGAATTGTATTACGAAGGCATTTCAAGTCTCTGTACAAAAATAATAAAAAGAAAATTGTTAAAATTAATTGTTACTCATTCAATTACAGCCGAACATTGCTGCAATTACAATTGTCACTTACTTAAAACATAAAAAGACAATTAAAGCTAAAACTAAAGCAGCAAAACTTATAAAATAACCGCAACAGTAGATGTAAGCGGGCAACTCAATGCCGGGTGCAAAATCTGGTACAGCTGGCATTTCAACGGCATGATGACATTTATCATAGTTGGAGTAATTATTCCATGTGCCATTGGGAAAACAGAAACGTGTTGCATTTTCTACAAATTGAACGAATTGAAGGAAATGGATAAAAGAGAGAGAGAGAGAAAATAATGAAAGAAAATTAAATGTTAAATAATAAAATACATCATTAAAACATGACAGTAAAGTGTTGAGAGTAATTAAATTAAATGTAGTAGAAAGCTTTGAAAGAGTGATGACGGTCTCACTGGACTAGAGTTTTTTGTACAGGGGGTTTACAGTATATTTTTTAAAAATTTAATAGATTTTTTGTTAGAGCAAAATATATAGGAACGTTTTTTTATCAAGTTTGAAAAAAGTAAATTCATCACAAATTTTATATAAAAAGAAAATTGGACGAAAATTTTAACGAAAAATTTCTTTAAAAATTTTAAGGAAAATCTTCTTTAAAAATTTTAAGAAAAATTTTCTTAAAAAATTGCGAAAATTTTATCGAAAAATTTCTTTTATAGAAAATAATTTTATCGAAAAATTTTTTAGAAAAAGAATTTATCGAATATTTTCTATAGAAAGAATTTTATCTAATATTTTCTATAGAAAAAAATTTTATCGAATATATTCTGTAAAAAAAAAAATTTATCGAAAGTTTTCTAATAAAAAATTTATCGAAAATTTTCAAAAAAAATGTATGGAAAATTTTCTATAGAAAGAAAAATTTATCGAAAATATTCTATAGAAAGAAAATTTTATTGAAAATTTTCTATAGCAAAAGAATGTTATTGAAAATTTTCTATTGAAAGAAAGTTTTATCGAAAGTTTAACTACTAACTACTAACTAACTAACTAACTAACTACTAACTAACTAACTAACTAACTAACTAACTAACTAACTAACTAACTAACTAACTAACTAACTAACTAACTAACTAACTAACTAACTACTAACTAACTAACTAACTAACTAACTAACTAACTAACTAACTAACTACTAACTAACTAACTACTAACTAACTAACTAACTAACTAACTAACTAACTAACTAACTACTAACTAACTAACTAACTAACTAACTAACTAACTAACTAACTAACTAACTAACTAACTAACTAACTACTAACTAACTAACTAACTAACTAACTAACTAACTAACTAACTAACTAACTAACTAACTAACTAACTAACTAACTAACTAACTAACTAACTAACTAACTAACTAACTAACTAACTAACTAACTAACTAACTAACTAACTAACTAACTAACTAACTAACTAACTAACTAACTAACTAACTAACTAACTAACTAACTAACTAACTAACTAACTAACTAACTAACTAACTACTAACTAACTAACTAACTAACTAACTAACTAACTAACTAACTAACTACTAACTAACTAACTACTAACTAACTAACTAACTAACTAACTAACTAACTAACTACTAACTAACTAACTAACTAACTAACTAACTAACTAACTAACTAACTAACTAACTAACTAACTAACTAACTAACTAACTAACTAACTAACTAACTAACTAACTAACTAACTAACTAACTAACTAACTAACTAACTAACTAACTAACTAACTAACTAACTAACTAACTAACTAACTAACTAACTAACTAACTAACTAACTAACTAACTAACTAACTAACTAACTAACTAACTAACTAACTAACTAACTAACTAACTAACTAACTAACTAACTAACTAACTAACTAACTAACTAACTAACTAACTAACTAACTAACTAACTAACTACTAACTAACTAACTAACTAACTAACTAACTAACTAACTAACTAACTAACTAACTAACTAACTAACTAACTAACTAACTAACTAACTAACTAACTAACTAACTAACTAACTAACTAACTAACTAACTAACTAACTAACTAACTAACTAACTAACTAACTAACTAACTAACTAACTAACTAACTAACTAACTAACTAACTAACTAACTAACTAACTAACTAACTAACTAACTAACTAACTAACTAACTAACTAACTAACTAACTAACTAACTAACTAACTAACTAACTAACTAACTAACTAACTAACTAACTAACTAACTAACTAACTAACTAACTAACTAACTAACTAACTAACTAACTAACTAACTAACTACTAACTAACTAACTAACTAACTAACTAACTAACTAACTAACTAACTAACTAACTAACTAACTAACTAACTAACTAACTAACTAACTAACTAACTAACTAACTAACTAACTACTAACTACTAACTAACTAACTAACTAACTAACTAACTAACTAACTAACTAACTAACTAACTAACTAACTAACTAACTAACTAACTAACTAACTAACTACTAACTAACTAACTAACTAACTAACTAACTAACTAACTAACTAACTAACTAACTACTAACTAACTAACTAACTACTAACTAACTAACTAACTAACTAACTAACTAACTAACTAACTAACTATCTAACTAACTAACTAACTAAACTTGTTCAAACTTCTTATTTACAACTCAATTTAAGAATGCAAGCAAGATTTCTCTGGAGATACCCAGAAACTGTACTTCCGACATCACTCCGAATGGATTTGATTACGGTTTACTCAATTCTTTTTTTGAGTGTATAAAACATTCAACAGAATTTCTTTAACTTTTACTTCAAGTCGAACTTAGTTATTTCCCCTTTGGTCATAATTTAATATTATAGAATCATAAAATTATTAAATATTTACTTTTACGTACATGAATAAAGTTTATTTATTGTTAGCATATAAAAATATGTTTATTTTAAATAAAATGTTGAAAAACAACGCGACAAAAACAAATTTACACTTTGAAAATAATAAGAACAGTAAATAAAATTCACATGCAGTTTTCTGTTTCGGTATAATATAGTTTTAAATAAATATTTGATCAAGCGACAACCAGACAGACAGACAGACAGACAACAAGTAGCAGTTAAGTTAAGCTGTAGTAAGTAAATGTTGCCAAATGCCAGGAAGTTATTTGCTGTTATTATTGCTGTTTATTATAAAAACGTATTTCTGGCATATGGGAATATAAAAACAACACATATGTACGTAGTATATGAAGTTTATAAAACAAATACCCCGAGGAAGGAGTGGAAAAAGGGGTTCGTTCCACTTGCTGCCAGCAAGTACGTGTATGCAAAAGTCCATTTGTGTACGTAAATATAAATTATGTTTAAGCGGCAATTCCCCTATTGCCACGACAAAAGAACAACTTATTCCTGCCGAGAGTTTATTTGTTTAACAAGTACTGGGTAGACAAACGATAGAAGGTGTGTTTTTTTTACTCTTATTGCTCTTTGTATACTTTTTGTTCGAATCTGAATACACGGTAAATGTATAGCTCATGATTAATTATTAATATGAATATTTGTATAAAGTTTATAAATAACAATATTTGCAAATAAGTAAAAAAAATACTTTTGGTTGAAACAGCAGGTACTCCTACCTACCTGCTGACGGTTTCTTTTCTGCTGTTCAAAATCGAAGGCAATGTTTTTAATATTTTATAATTAAGGATTTAATTTTATTTATATAAAGCTAAGTAAATTGGAATTTATAATTTTTTTTTGGCAAAATTGCGAAAGATATAAATAAAAGGCAAGTATTAAGGAGGCGTATGAGTATTATTAGATATAAATAAATAATAATCATACGCAGATATTAAACATCTACTAGATTTGCAATCCAGTTTCAGGTTTTACATTTATCAGGTTCCTCGGGTTCCTTTCTCTTTGTATTAAATATATTCTTTCTTCCATTGCTAATTATTTGAGATCACATCCATAGGATCGTCATCATTGGGGACATGAGCTAAACTTTGCTAAATCTTTACTGAAACATATGTATACAGGATATGAAGCAGTTGCTATTAATAGGTGAAGTAACCGGTAAGCCGGTCATAGGTGTACTCGACACATTTGAAGGCTATATACAAACTTCAGACGAATGTTCGCGGGCTCAACTCTATATCAAAGTAGAAAGCTTGGAAATTTGGCATCATCAGATCATTGAAACGATCACAACATAATTCGAAGTGATTCACGTGAACATCTGCTGTTTTGGCCTTATTTCACGGCGGTAATTTTACAACAGCCGGATGAGCTAATTAGACGACTCACAACCGCTTCTTGAGCTTCTTATACGCCGGTGACAACTTTTGAACACATGTAGTTCTGCCAATCCCTGTACAAGCGCTTTGCTCAAGTACTCGAGCTATCTAATTTTTTTTATCAAGGCTGCCACGTTGCTTGATTTCCTACATCCAAAAAACTTAACTTACAACTACGCAGATGGGATGGCCTCTATTGATACGGCAATAGCATGTAGAGCCTTAGTCGGTGGACCATCATATAAGACGAGAACTTGTTCTTACTCACATAGAACACACTGTGGTTAATCTGGTATGCATAGAGTAAATCCTGAACTTAGCCAGTCAAGGAAGGAAAATTCATTGGTATCACTTATATAAGATACCATACATTTATCATCATGCAACCCAATACACTTCTTATTCATCCGAAACACTCATTAAGTAAAACATCCGATATACTCTTCTCTAGGTTCATGGATGGGTGAGCCTTGCATACTCCTACATCCATCCGTTATCATTTACATTTGACACCAACGCTTAGCCTTACATTCATTCCTTTGCGGGGTATCTATTGTCTCGGCAACAGCACCGATTGTATCTCGAATTATAGACAAATTGTAGAGTCAAGCGAGATAGAAGTCTTACAACATTTAGGGACGAACAAATGGCAATTTAGACCAACATTTATACCGAACTGCTAGATTCCTTAAATAAGCTGACCACTATTATGCACATGCAACAAATATGACAAAAGGATTGACATATTCATCCTTTGCAGGATCTCCCTAATCCCCATTATACTGGAACACGTAACACCTGCCCGCTGACATCAAAGAAGGTGTCATTGGCAAAGTGCCAAATATAGGGGATCTATCAAATTTCACAACTGGAGGGGGATAGTCTTAAAGAACATACTGTACACGTTCATTGCTTCGACAATTAGAAGCATCATTCCGAGCTGGAAGATCCGGGAGAACACAATTTAGCTCATTGCAAATCTGTACATACGTACATACTATCTATACTAAATTTTAATAGGTCATTCAAGACCAGAATACCGACAAGGAATGATTGGGTCGCGAACACTGTCCTAAGGGATAATGTGAGCTCAATCTATACTAATGGTTCAAAGAATGAAACTTTTTCGGGAATCTTCTCCGAAAAACTGAATCTTATACTGTCTCTTCGACTATCTGAAATCAGCACGGTTCTTCAGGCAGATATATATGCAATCGATACAGCCGCGAGAAGAATCCGGGAATACTTGGCACAACTGACTCAACATCCCGTTGAGTTGATATGGGTTCCGCTCAAATGAAATATCTGATGAGTGCGCAACCAAAGGGATATTCACACTCCCCTGGTGACCCTATAAAAATTTATCGATGGCTGGGCTTTGAGTGAGACGGAACTAAGTTGGTCAAATATCACCACTTGTAGAATATGGAGACTGCTCTGGTCCACTCTGATAACGGATAGGACTAGGACTCTCTTGTCTCTTAGTAAAAATTCGATTAGGTTTCTAACTGATATAATTACTGGTCACTGTATGATTGTACATATGTCGGAACGTATCGGCTACCCATGTTATAGCTACTGTAGAAGCTGTTTGGACGAAGAAGAAGTGGAATCGGTACTAGTAAACGTGATCGGTTTTATTAGAAATACCGGCTGGTTTTCACGGCTACCGCAAGAACCAACTAGTCAACAAAATTAGGGAGGGAAACCATTCTCTCTACATAAAGGAAGGGCAATTCTAAGGATATCACAATGGGCTACAAGGCCTCCGACTGAACTCGATAACTAGGGAGCAACCCACGTAACCTAACCTAACCTAACCTATATTGTCGTTTGGAATTGAACTAGAGGCAAATTTTCAGTGCGAAAACACTCCTCTTGTCACCATTATGCAAAATGTCACACTAGTCAATGGAAACATAAGTTTCCGTTTGACTAGTGCGTTTGTAGGACCTTGACTTAACTCTGGAGTGGAGACTATATAAGGCAATAAAGGCATTTGTCATGGTTAAGCTCTTGCAGCTTTCCTCACAACATTCGACTAACACAAAGCTTCGAGTCTTCAACTCTATGGTATCGAATCGTGGAAGGCCATGATTCACACCGTACAGATTTCCTCACAACTTTCGACTAACACAAAGCTTCGAATCTATGGTATCGAATCGTGCAAGGTTATGTTTCACACCGTGCAGATTTCCCCACAACTTTCGACTAACACAAAGCTTCGAGTCTTCACCTCTATATAGAAGGACATCAATAGCATTCAAGTTAGTAAAATCCTATCCAAAAGATGAAGGAACTCTGATATCTGACACACTAGCAAAGAAATTTTCATTCCATCAGAGATATGTAAGCGAAAATGGTGTTAGATTGGAAACTCAGTCAGACGACATTACCAGAATGTCTATCGGCTGAAACCCTCAGGGTAAGAAATGTATTGGTTCACCTGCCTATACATAGAGAAGACAGCTTGATTATGAACAAGAACATCTGTACATATTTAGTTGGAGTGTAATAAGGCACATGGAAAATGATAGCGAAAGCGCTGTCGCGGACCTATGTATGTTCTTTTTAGAATGAAGGCTTTAGCAAAGTAAAGCAAATGAGCACTACGACAACCAAAGCTCTGGAAACGTTGCCGGATATATAAGATATGAGGGAACAGCTCTTAACATTAGGTGAATTAACCAAAGAAGTCTTTTAGGTATACTGGACATATTGGAAGGCTACACACAAATAACAGTCATGTCCGGTCGCATACCACACACAGAATTCGTCAGGAACTTTGAGACATTGATCGCAGATGGATCTAAACTGGGATTGGGTTTGTAACGGTATTTATAGACCGGAATAATCAGGGTGAATTTACATGCTTTTAAAGTGAAGGGAACTCGAGCCAGTTAACCTAACGAATGCAAAACCGTTCGACGCAAGAAGGCCTGAATTAAGTCAGGACATGGGGGAGACAATTTCATACAGACACTTGGAAAACGAAACACTGATCCACCGACTGTGGTAACTATTAACGAAAGAAGAACGAGAGGCCTCCTGCGAATAAGAAGGCTGATGTTATTTAGTATGATTGGACACATATTTATGACTTCGAACACTACTATACAAAATCGGACAAATGGATTCAGATGAATGTACGCGTAGAGGATAGTGAAAAGCTGGAACATTTTCATAGTCAGGTTATTGTCGAAATTAGATTCAAATATCTTGGGAGCAATATTATTCGTTATAAACGCTGATTGGAAATGTTTAAGGCACTTTGTCCAGGATACATAGTTTCTGAACATCTGTATTTTTTCGGACTTAATATATCCTACTCTCAATCTAACCTTATAATGTAGATGGTATTTTGTACTTTTGTAAAATGGAACCAAAACCTATGAAATTAAGAATAAAATTTGAAACTTACGTGTACTATCATAATGAACACCTTTGAATTCCTCAAAACAAGGCAATATGGCCCAAGTGCCGGCAGGTGTACGTGGCCAACAGAGTACCGAATCAAATGATACAGGGCAGGATATGAAATTCGCAGGGCTGGTTAAGGAATTGGCGGCAGTCTAGAAAAATTCATTTATAATAAAAAGTAAAAAAGAGAAAATATGAGAAAAATTTAATTTTCATTTAAAGTCCTGAAAGTTTATTGAGTTGCATTTTTGCAACTCAGCTAATGATGATGAATATTTAAAAGCAACAACATCATATAAGAAATAAACACAAAGAAAAACAAAATTAATTCAATAAAGTAAATGAAGGAATGCATAAATATTGCTGCAAGAGGAAGGAAAACAAAACCAAAGAAGAAAACGTAACAAAGTTGAACAAGAATACTGGGGTTAATTGTTCAAGAATAAACTTTAATGAAAAATTATGTTTTTATACACACATTTTTCGTTTAACTACTTTCTCTTTTACACTCTTTATTATACATATATACTCTTGCCATAAAGGAAACGGAAGCAAGCAGCCAGGAGGATGATGCAAATGGTTAGTAGGTGCTTTTGTTGTTACAAGTATTTTTCTGAATAGGGTTTCCTATTTATTTTCGCTAAGAGTGTGGCAACAACCAATAATATGAGTAAATATGTTGATGATGATGATGTTGGTAATTATGGTGATAATGTTATTTGACTTGTTTTTTATTACGACTTAAATTTCAAATATAAAAAAATTTAATACAAAATTTTATGTGTTTTTCTTTCTCTTTTCTGGTTTATTGTTTAAATAATGTGAATATGAATATGGATGTTTATAGATATTTGTAGGGATGTATGTATGTGTATTGTTCCTTGACAAAATCCTACTCTGTTTTGTTATAAAATACATTAATTTTTAAAACCTTTTCAAATTTAAACGTATTTTCTTTTAATTTATTTCCACATACTCGTATATACCTGAATGTAAATACATACACACACACACATATTCATACATATATTCATATTTATGAAAAGTGGAAAAGGTATGGGTGCTGTAGATTTGGGAAGTAACAGTTGCAATGCTTGTCAAATTATTAATCATAAAAACTAACTAACTAACTAACTAACTAACTAACTAACTAACTACTAACTAACTAACTAACTAACTAACTAACTAACTAACTAACTACTAACTAACTAACTACTAACTAACTAACTAACCTAACTACTACTAACTAACTAACTAACTACTAACTACTAACTAACTAACTCTAACTCTAACTAACTAACTAACTAACTACTAACTAACTAACTAACTAACTAACTAACTAACTACTAACTAACTAAACTAACTAACTAACTAACTAACTAACTAACTAACTAACTAACTAACTAACTAACTAACTAACTAACTAACTAACTAACTAACTAACTAACTAACTAACTAACTAACTAACTAACTAACTAACTAACTAACTAACTAACTAACTAACTAACTAACTAACTAACTAACTAACTAACTAACTAACTAACTAACTAACTAACTAACTAACTAACTAACTAACTAACTAACTAACTAACTAACTAACTAACTAACTAACTAACTAACTAACTAACTACTAACTAACTAACTAACTAACTAACTAACTAACTAACTAACTAACTAACTAACTAACTAACTAACTAACTACTAACTAACTAACTAACTAACTAACTAACTAACTAACTAACTAACTAACTAACTAACTAACTAACTAACTAACTAACTAACTAACTAACTAACTAACTAACTAACTAACTAACTAACTAACTACTAACTAACTAACTAACTAACTAACTAACTAACTAACTAACTAACTAACTAACTAACTAACTAACTACTAACTAACTAACTAACTAACTAACTAACTAACTAACTAACTAACTACTAACTAACTAACTAACTAACTAACTACTAACTAACTAACTAACTAACTAACTAACTAACTACTACTAACTAACTAACTAACTAACTAACTAACTAACTAACTAACTAACTAACTAACTAACTACTAACTAACTAACTAACTAACTAACTAACTAACTAACTAACTAACTAACTAACTACTAACTAACTAACTAACTAACTAACTAACTAACTAACTAACTAACTAACTAACTAACTAACTAACTAACTAACTACTAACTAACTAACTAACTAACTAACTAACTAACTAACTAACTAACTAACTAACTAACTACTAACTAACTAACTAACTAACTAACTAACTAACTAACTACTAACTAACTAACTAACTACTAACTAACTAACTACTAACTAACTAACTAACTAACTAACTAACTAACTAACTAACTAACTAACTAACTAACTAACTAACTAACTAACTAACTAACTAACTAAATTTGCAAGGAGCGTTATATTATTGACCCACATATAAAAATGTACATCTAAGAAACTTTGTATGAGTAACTGTACTACTATCCATTTAAATATTTAAATTGTTTCGCATAAAGAAAACATTTCCTTTACTAAAGCGCCTACAACAGACACTTTAACGGTGACAAGGAAAATCTATGAATATAAATAACAAGAATATGACAACGACATTGAGAGGCAAAAGGATATAGTACATACAAGGATACATGTACTATAAATGCATTTTAGTATTTTCATTATCCCTACAAATGTAAAAGTGTGTGTATGCACAATTTTATAAACATGATGAATACAATAAATACAGTAAATAACAAAATAATAATAATTTAAACTGAATTGCATAATAAAATTTATGATAATTGATTTAATTTATATTCAATGGAATGACTTCTTAAGTTAAACTAAACAAACAATTTAAATGCAAAAAGAAAAATTTGTCAGTTTTCTCTTCCACTGTATGATTAAAACTGAAATTGTGTTCTATATCATACATTCACAATTTCCACAATTTTTTACTTACACGTTCATCCTGTTGCTGTTGTCGCAAACACTGCATTTCGAGGGTTCGATTAACCAGAGTATCTGTGTTACTTAGCGCCAACGCTGCCGCCACTTCAATATCCTCCAAATGTATTATTGCATCCGTATTGGTGTCAGTGTCAAGGAGACCATTAGTGGATGTTGCTGTTGCCGCCAATAGAGCATTCGCCTGCTGTAACATTTCCGTTGAAAAGTTTGCAAATGCATCGGACAGATCGGTGACTCTGCCATCCGTAAAACTGTCAACTAATGCACGCAAATCGGGTGCATCCATAATTTTGTTATTGTTGCTGCTGCTGTTGTTGCTGTGTTGCTATCAATGTCGTTGTATTTTTTTTTCTTCTTCTTCTTTTTCTAGTCTAGAGTGTAAAAATGTGTCTTTCTATACACTTCAACCACGACTTTTGTGGAATTTGTATGTTGGTGGCATGCAACAAAGCAAACAGAAAATGTCAGATTTTATTTGGTTTGAAATTTTACCTTGAATTAAATTCAATTTTAACAGATTGTTACTCGGTTGACTCCTTTGTTCCAGTAGTTGTGGTTAATTATGTTGATGATGCTGTTGTTGTTGTTGTCACTGTTTTTATTATAATTAAATTATTATTTTTTTTTGTTGGTTGGTGGACTGAAATTAAATTAAGCAAAAATATGTACATAGATTAATATAACAGAGGGTTTTTTAATAAGTTTAATTATTAAAAAAAAAAAGTATGAAATTTTTGCATAAATTTATTTTCAACGGACAAAAAATATTCATAAAAACTAAAAGAGAGTTAGTATTTTTAAAAGAGAGTAAAAAACTAACTTGGTTCATTTAGAATAGAGTAAACCATGAACTTGGAACTTGTTAGTTCAGTTCAGTTCTAGTTCAGTTCTAGTTCAGTTCTAGTTCAGTTCTAGTTCAGTTCTAGTTTCTAGTTCAGTTCAGTTCTAGTTTCAGTTCTAGTTCAGTTCTAGTTCAGTTCTAGTTCAGTTCTAGTTCAGTTCTAGTTCAGTTCTAGTTCAGTTCTAGTTCAGTTCTAGTTCAGTTCTAGTTCAGTTCTAGTTCAGTTCTAGTTCAGTTCTAGTTCAGTGTCTAGTTCAGTTCTAGTTCAGTTCTAGTTCAGTTTCTAGTTCAGTTCTAGTTCAGTTCTAGTTCAGTTCTAGTTCTAGTTCAGTTCAGTTCAGTTCAGTTCAGTTCTAGTTCGTTCAGTTCTAGTTCAGTTCTAGTTCAGTTCTAGTTCAGTTCTAGTTCAGTTCTAGTTCAGTTCTAGTTCAGTTCTAGTTCAGTTTCTGAGTTCAGTTCTAGTTCAGTTCTAGTTCAGTTCTAGTTCAGTTCTAGTTCAAGTTCTAGTTCAGTTCTAGTTCAGTTCTAGTTCAGTTCTAGTTCAGTTCTAGTTCAGTTCTAGTTCAGTTCTAGTTCAGTTCTAGTTCAGTTCTAGTTCAGTTCTAGTTCAGTTCTAGTTCAGTTCTAGTTCAGTTCTAGTTCAGTTCTAGTTCAGTTCTAGTTCAGTTCTAGTTCAGTTCTAGTTCAGTTCTAGTTCAGTTCTAGTTTAGTTCTAGTTCAGTTCTAGTTCAGTTCTAGTTCAGTTCTAGTTCAGTTTCAGTTCTAGTTCAGTTCTAGTTCAGTTCTAGTTCTAGTTCAGTTCTAGTTCAGTTCTAGTTCAGTTCTAGTTCAGTTCTAGTTCAGTTCTAGTTCAGTTCTAGTTCAGTTCTAGTTCAGTTCTAGTTCAGTTCTTGTTCAGTTCTAGTTTAGTTCTAGTTCAGTTCTAGTTTAGTTCTAGTTCTGTTCTAGTTCAGATCTAGTTCAGTTCTAGTTCAGTTCTAGTTCAGTTCTAGTTCAGTTCTAGTTCAGTTCTAGTTCAGTTCTAGTTCAGTTCTAGTTCAGTTCTAGTTCAGTTCTAGTTCAGTTCTAGTTCAGTTCTAGTTCAGTTCTAGTAGTTCTCTAGTTCAGTTCTAGTTCAGTTCTAGTTCAGTTCTAGTTCAGTTCTAGTTCAGTTCTAGTTCAGTTCTAGTTCAGTTCTAGTTCAGTTCTAGTTCAGTTCTAGTTCAGTTCTAGTTCAGTTCTAGTTCAGTTCTAGTTCAGTTCTAGTTCAGCTCTAGTTCAGTTCCAGTTCTGTTCTAGTTCTGTTCTAGTTCAGTTCTAGTTCAGTTCTAGTTCAGTTCTAGTTCAGTTCTGGTTCAGTTCTAGTTCAGTTCTAATTCAGTTCTAGTTCAGTTCTAGTTCAGTTCTAGTTCAGTTCTAGTTCAGTTCTAGTTCTAGTTCAGTTCTAGTTCAGTTCTAGTTCAGTTCTAGTTCAGTTCTAGTTCAGTTCTAGTTCAGTTCTAGTTCAGTTCTAGTTCAGTTCTAGTTCAGTTCTAGTTCAGTTCTAGTTCAGTTCTAGTTCAGTTCTAGTTCAGTTCTAGTTCAGTTCTAGTTCAGTTCTAGTTCTCTAGTTCAGTTCTAGTTCAGTTCTAGTTCAGTTCTAGTTCAGTTCTAGTTCAGTTCTAGTTCAGTTCTAGTTCAGTTCTAGTTCAGTTCTAGTTCAGTTCTAGTTCAGTTCTAGTTCAGTTCTAGTTCAGTTCTAGTTCAGTTCTAGTTCAGTTCTAGTTCAGTTCTAGTTCAGTTCTAGTTCAGTTCTAGTTCAGTTCTAGTTCAGTTCTTGTTCAGTTCTAGTTCAGTTCTAGTTCAGTTCTTGTTCAGTTCTAGTTTAGTTCTAGTTCAGTTCTAGTTTAGTTCTAGTTCTGTTCTAGTTCAGTTCTAGTTCAGTTCTAGTTCAGTTCTAGTTCAGTTCTAGTTCAGTTCTAGTTCAGTTCTAGTTCAGTTCTAGTTCAGTTCTAGTTCAGTTCTAGTTCAGTTCTAGTTCAGTTCTAGTTCAGTTCTAGTTCAGTTCTAGTTCAGTTCTAGTTCAGTTCTAGTTCAGTTCTAGTTCAGTTCTAGTTCAGTTCTAGTTCAGTTCTAGTTCAGTTCTAGTTCAGTTCTAGTTCAGTTCTAGTTCAGTTCTAGTTCAGTTCTAGTTCAGTTCTAGTTCAGTTCTAGTTCAGTTCTAGTTCAGTTCTAGTTCAGCTCTAGTTCAGTTCCAGTTCTGTTCTAGTTCTGTTCTAGTTCAGTTCTAGTTCAGTTCTAGTTCAGTTCTAGTTCAGTTCTGGTTCAGTTCTAGTTCAGTTCTAATTCAGTTCTAGTTCAGTTCTAGTTCAGTTCTAGTTCAGTTCTAGTTCAGTTCTAGTTCAGTTCTAGTTCTAGTTCAGTTCTAGTTCAGTTCTAGTTCAGTTCTAGTTCAGTTCTAGTTCAGTTCTAGTTCAGTTCTAGTTCAGTTCTAGTTCAGTTCTAGTTCAGTTCTAGTTCAGTTCTAGTTCAGTTCTAGTTCAGTTCTAGTTTAGTTCTAGTTCAGTTCTAGTTCAGTTCTAGTTCAGTTCTAGTTCAGTTCTAGTTCAGTTCTAGTTCAGTTCTAGTTCAGTTCTAGTTCAGTTCTAGTTCAGTTCTAGTTCAGTTCTAGTTCAGTTCTAGTTCAGTTCTAGTTCAGTTCTAGTTCAGTTCTAGTTCAGTTCTAGTTCAGTTCTAGTTCAGTTCTAGTTCAGTTCTAGTTCAGTTCTAGTTCAGTTCTAGTTCAGTTCTAGTTCAGTTCTAGTTCAGTTCTAGTTCAGTTCTAGTTCAGTTCTAGTTCAGTTCTAGTTCAGTTCTAGTTCAGTTCTAGTTCAGTTCTAGTTCAGTTCTAGTTCAGTTCTAGTTCAGTTCTAGTTCAGTTCTAGTTCAGTTTCTAGTTCAGTTCTAGTTCAGTTCTAGTTCAGTTCTAGTTCAGTTCTAGTTCAGTTCTAGTTCAGTTCTAGTTCAGTTCTAGTTCAGTTCTAGTTCAGTTCTAGTTCAGTTCTAGTTCAGTTCTAGTTCAGTTCTAGTTCAGTTCTAGTTCAGTTCTAGTTCAGTTCTAGTTCAGTTCTAGTTCATTTTTAGTTCAGTTCTAGTTTAGTTCTAGTTCATTTTTTTCATTTCTAATTTTAAATCGGATCAGATGCAAAAAGAGGTAGGGTCCAATTTCTGATAGAGAAAATAGTCAATCCCCTTTCGACGTTGTTTAGCTGCGTTGTTGTTTTTTATATTTATAAACTATTTAAACGCTCCAACAGCCATTTCAAGTCAAATAAATATAAATGAAAGAAATTTTGTACATTCTCTACTTGATTTATTTTTCATTCATTCATTTCCACCATATCCATGGGCTAAACAATACCCATCACAATGAATAATAATAATTTCGTCCGTCATGTAACAAAATTTAATGGCCATTTTCATTGTCCGATTCTAGTTTATCATTTAACGCTTTTGGTCCAGCAAACACAATGAATGCTGCTTTGTAGTTTACATGATATTTTGTTGCAATTTTTAACTTTTACTTGCGGCCTTGAAATGATAAAATATCTGCCATCCTCAACAAAACAAAATCTCAATAACAATTTTCACTTTTCATGGTCTTTATGTTTTTTATCCATATTCTATTTCCTCGTCAATGGAAAAACGTTGCAATTTTTGCTTCGAGGAAAAAGCGAAATGTGAGCGTCAAAAAAAAAAACCAGAATAAGAAAAAAAACTAAAATGTTGCGAAACTTGAAATTAAAATACAACTGATGTATACATCTGTTTTCTTCTTATTTTTTTGGATAATTTAAATTTTCTTAATCATTTAAAAAAATAAACGATGATAAAAAGATGTGTTTGTATTTTTTTTTTCTCACCAAATTTAAAGCGTTCCAAATTTAAATTATTTTAAATATTTAAAGCTTATAACGAACAGTGTTGCCAATAAATTAATATATTTTTATAAGAACTAGAATCATTGTTCACTCTGCCCTAAACAAAACAGTTTAATTTCTCACTCTGTACTAAATTAAAAAGTTTAATTTCAGTTCTTTATAAATTCATTAAAAAAAAAAACGCTAAATGCTTAACATTAAATTTAATTAATCATCATTTTAATCAAAATATATATTTTTAAAATATTTTATTATTATTACACACCATTTTTTTCAAGTAAATCTTAAGCTTTTTTATCTCTTTCGTTTTTTATTAACTTTTTTTTTCAACTCAACTAGATAAAACCACACAAAAAATTATAATTTAATTATCATAAAAATATTGTTTAGTGTTCGTTTGTTTGTCATTTTCAAGATTAAAAAAACAGATTCCCTTTCGGTTAATAGACTGAAATGAAAATGAAAGTTAATTTTTTACTTCTACATAAATATTAAATGAACCTAATTAAAATTTTAAACACAAATGGAAAACTCAAGTGAACAGAGGCAAAAACAAACAATTAAACCGCTAAAGATTAGATTATAATTTTAAGTGTTTGTGGTAAATTTAAAGACAAAGCAGAAATATTTGGTTTTATTCGGCGTAAAAAAAGTTATAGACATTGTGAATGACAAAACCAAAAGATGTAGTCAATTATTTTTACTCTAGTCATTTCAGTTTAGTTCAAGTTCAGTTCTAGTTCTGTTCCAGTTCTGTTCCAGTTCAGTTCTAGTTCAGTTCTAGTTCAGTTCTAGTTCAGTTCTAGTTTAGTTCTAGTTCAGTTCTAGTTCAGTTCTAGTTCAGTTCTAGTTCAGTTCTAGTGCAGTTCTAGTTCAGTTCTAGTTCAGTTCTAGTGCAGTTCTAGTTCAGTTCAGTTCCGG